ATATATATATATATATGCGCGCGAAAAGAAAAAAAACTAGATGAAGAGGAAGAAGAAACAAAAAAGTAGAGAAGAAACCACTTCAACCATAAGTTTATTGTGAATTTGTGATTCAACCATAAGAAACAAATTTTTATATTTCTAAAGCATATAGAAGAGTGCTAGTGTCCTATTATGATACTATATATTTACAATATAAACTATTTTCATATGTGGATATGCACACGTGTAATTCGAATTGTAGTCTCCTGGTCACCTACATGCCCAATTTTATTTTAGCACATATCTGAAGATGGTGGAGTGGAGTTATCCATCCGAAAAGGTGAATGCAAATCTCCATATTTTGTTCCTTTTTGGACAAAGATTAGTTAGGAATTAGTTGGGATATCGTATTCTCCTAATCGTTCCCAATCGTGGACACTTTTTATCAGGAAAATTTAATTTGACAAAATTGAAGTGTCACTTCTGACGATACCCCACAAGATGTAGGCACAAGCAGCATTCAATTGTGTAATGGTAAGTTCATCTTAAAATTGAGAATAACGATGCCCGAAGCAAATTCAGGATTTTAAGTTTATGAGTTCTGAATTTTAGAACAACGATTTCAAGTACTAATGACTGGGTTCTAAATTTAATATTAGTACATATTTAATGAATTTCTTAACACAAAATATATTGTTTGAGCAAAAGTTATTGGATTCGGCCGAACATATAGTATGGCTTCTGCCTGCGCCCCTGGCCCCCGACTCCCTTGGGCCTAAAAAGGGACTACATTGTTCACATGCATTTTATTTTCTATCAAGAAGTTTAATATGTTTTTGGTTTTTTACTTGGTATCCCGTATCTATATTAAGGTCCGACTAATCTGAATTCACGCAAGACCGATTGTGTCCACATCAAGAAGTTTGATCAGTATGATGAGGTTAGATTTTTTATGCTGTTCTCTATACAGCATAGTACAGTTTCTAACCACAAAGTAGAACAGTTGAGAATTGAGGCCCTCTTAATAAACAAGTTTTCTTATTATGTCATTGTTTTGGCCCCACCCTTCAGGACTTTCAACTCATGGCCAAGATGGTCTTTATTCTCCCACTTTGGACCACAATCTCAAATACAATGTACATGTAGAAAAAAAGAATAGAAATGTAAACAAGAATATTGATAGACTAAGAAATTAAATTCTGTTTTGCAGGAAAAAAAATCAAACATACTTCCATTAGATTGATGAAAGAAAAGTTCAAGTACAGAAGTCAATACCCGAACCATACAATTTTTCTCGCCTTAGCAAACCACNCTATTGATAAAGAAGCATTGAAAATTCCCAACTACCTCTAAGCAGAAACAGAGGTAATTTAAGTCGCTGAACTGATTTCAAAATGGGATCAAGAAGTGGAGCAATTCAAGGCAGCTTTAATTTGGTGAACAGTGCTGCCTATAAGGTTATTCACAGTGTTTACTGATTCAGGGCTCATTTTAGCTGATGGCAAGCTGCTTACTAGAATTTGGAACACTACTGTTATAAGTGAACCCCCTGACCTGCCTCCTATAGTACTTGCATTTGAGCTGCTGCTGCATGATGCTGCATCTTGGTCTAGTTGATGGCCATCTGGCGATATCGTGAACCCCGATGGTAGCAACGGGATATACGTGGGGTCCTCACCGCTCATCGCTATGTTGATAGCCGGTACATCCACTGGGCTATACACTACTAGTGCCCCTGATGAGTCTATGCAACTTTCTTGAAGTATTAACATGTTGTTCTGGCTAGTGTTATAGGCCTGCAAAAAATGTAACATTCTCCTCATTATCAAATTGTGTCATTTTCAACATAAAATAAAGAAAAAAGGCATTCACTTTAAGAAAAATATTTAGTATGGTTTCATCAATTTACCCGCAGCACAGAAATGCAGTTCCCTGGATGAGAGCCATTCGCAATATGAGCTACTTCTTGCACCGGATTTTGGTTGGAAAGAACATCCCACTGTGATCAAGAATGCATTTTAAATTAAAATAGAAGACATGTAAAGTTATCACACTAAGTAATCTCAATTTACATCTGGTTAAGGTTATATTAAACCACAAGAGAAAGTCAAACGAAATTTATCTACATTCCCTCATGCGCAAAGTCAAATGATCTACATTGTACTTAAACTATCTAAATAGCAGTATACCATTCCAAATCTAGAAGCATAGTCAATTTGCACAGACCTGGGGTCGATTCCGTTCATCCCTGAAGAAATTGAAGACATTTTGTGGAGGAACTGGCAGCCAAATGGTGGTGGCTGCACTAATGATTACACCATTAGGCTGGCCAGGGTCGGTGCTCTTTTGAAGGGTAGCTCTGACTTCAAACTCATTCAATCCAGAAATTGTGTTCCATTGATGTCCATTAGATGGATTTATGCTGGCACAGAAATTGCTCACCATTCTTTTTGCCAGTTTCATCATGCTCCTCTTCCCTTCGGGCGATGGAATTACTGCTACCATAACGTGACATATTAATCGAGCATCTCAATTTTTCTTATTGCTAGTAGTTGGACGAATACGAACTATTAAAAACCCCGAATTTCAAATTTAAGTTACCTCCACCAAGGTCATGAGTAGGATTGCTATTAACCATGAGACAAGCATATTTTTCACAAACTCTTTGAAGAGTGCCAACCCATCTCTCTGCTCCAAATGCCAATCCACTGTGTATAAGATCTCTACATAGCCTATGAATTATACCTTTCTCTTCCACTTCTACATGTTCCACCCAAGTAACCTATTTTGCAAGAAAAAAAGGTCAGAAATTTCATGTATTAAATTGCAAATGTAGAGCTTAATCACAATAATTATGATTAGTAGAGCAATTTGGATTACCTTAGAATAACCATTGGGCATATCTTGAATCAAGCACCCTGATGGAAGCCTATGAACCTTGCAAGAAGTGGAAGAATAAAGATTTTCTTGAGTTATATCATAAGAAACATCGACTATTGCCCACGAGCTTTGCTCAATCTGCTGGCAAAACCTCAGGAAATACAATTGTCGCGTTGGAACCAATGGTGAAAGCACCTGCAATTCTTCATACATCTGCATGTAGCGCGCATCAGGCAAAACCTTAGGAAAAAAGACTAATCCCTCTTTATTAAGTCTGTTATTTTTCTTTACCAATTGCAATGTACTAGTTCGGCTTCCCATCACACCAGATGATATTACTTCAAGCGTTCTTGCCTTTGAAACAATTGTAGGAAAGAATTCCTGCCATTTATTCTACCAAATAGAAAAAGAAAAAGAAAGACCAGTAATGTTAAACCATAATCTTAAAGTTAACTCTTTCCATATGCAACAAAAACTGAAAATTGTGCTACTAACCGCGTCCATAAACATGTCAACTAATGCTAATCCATTCATAATAACAACACCTGAATCCCTGGAAGCCTCAATCCGAACATTGTGATTTTTCAAATGACTATTAGCCCTTGGAAAAATTCGATCATAGTTCTGGAAATTAAGTACATCTTTTCCATCGATAGCGGACTTCATCCACAAAGGTTCATTGGTTTGCACCAATCTAATGAGTTCCTCCATTGCATTCCCAGCAATATCAGCCATAAGGGACTTATCCATGTCCGATAAATTCAATGAAGAGAAGGCCAAACTGGGAATAGTCAACGAACTTCCAGGGAGAAGATCGAGATCAAGATCAAGGGAATTAGGGCCATGGCCAACAAAACTAGACATAGACAAATCTAGTGAAGATAGATGAATAGGTTGCACTGGTGGGAGTTGTGAAATAGGCCTCCCTATATATTTAGCAGCAATACTGGATACTTTATCAAGCTGCATGTCCCCCAAAAAACAAAAAAACAAAAAAAAGAAATATTAATGTGAATGAATACATCAAATAATAGGGATATATATATAGAACAGAGAAATTGAAAGCGAAGGTATAAATTAAAGAAGATTAAATGAGGGGGAAAATTAAATGGACCTCTTCTTTTAATTGCATGTTTTCTATTCTCAACTTTTGCTCATCGAAATATGAATCTTCAGTAACAGGAGGACATGATGGGCAAATCACATTCTTGAGGGCTTCTCTGATTGCTATATTTTCACATCGAATTTTATCATTTTCTGCTCTAAGTGCACAATTGTCTGCTCTCTCATGTTGAGCCTATAAATCCAATGAGAAATTTTGAAGCAACTAATAAACAATAGAACAGTTAAAAAAGTAAACTTAAAAAGAGAAAAGATGAAACAAACCTTCATTTGAGTCCTCCTATTTTGGAACCAAAACTTAATCTGACGAGGAGCTAAGCCTAAATCTCTGCTTAACTGCAATCGTGTCTTCTCGTCTGGATGAGGACATTCTTTGAAAATACTACCAACATCAAAAATCAAATTAGTACTACCTTAACAAAAAAAATAAAAAATAAAATAAGAAGTAGCTGTGTAGAAATGCAAATGCATGGCTAGTGTTGTGGCTATATATGAAATTGCAGTTTCTTACGCTTCAAGCCTTTGAATTTGATTAGCAGTGTGACGATGATAACGTTTCTTCCTCCGCTCGGCGGCGTCGCGGGGATCGCCGCCGCCGCTGCTGGTGCCACCACCACCACCACCACCTCCGCTGCCGTACTCCATATTGATATTTTATTGACCCTCAACAACTGAATAAACTTTGGAATAGTACAAGTACTTAGTTTCAAGAAAGAGGAACTGATGAAATTCAGCTATTCCCATCACATGAAGAGTAAGACACAAACAAGAATTACTGATCAGAACTTTACTACAACTACCAATATTAAATACTACTGAATGGAGAAATTACCATAGTAAAGACAACCAAAAAAGAATTTAATAGCACTAGTACTATCACTAGTAACGAGGAGGGAAAAAATGATAAATGAGAAATCATTAAATCAAGAATAATGATGATATATTATAGAGAATGGAACTGGAAAAGGGAATAAGCAAAAATGAAGGTGGTATTAGCATAGTTCAAGCAAAGACCAGCCATATGTAAGGAGTGGATATTTAGTAACAGATGTAATATCAGAAATATATCTATATGAAGATAGAGAGAGCATGAATTTAGACAGATAATTTGGTGGAGAAAAAAACTGCTAGAGATAAGAAAGAGAAAATTTTGGGAGGGGGCATTAATTAAGAGAAGATTGGTGATGGTTATAAGGAAGAAGATTGAATCCTCTCCATAAGAAGGAAGACAACTCAAAGGCATATGATATAATAGCGGGGGGTCAGATCAGAGAGGTGTAATATTAATATAGGCACCAAATACTATACGACTGCTACTCTAGTCTTTAGTCTTTACTTACCCTACAACCTAGGTACATAGGGGCGGATGCATATTTATGTTACTTGATTCATAACCTAATATTTTTTATGCGGACCATAAAATTATGTATAAAAATTTATTGAAATTATAATAAATATTTTCTTCAATTCATTTTAATTGATTTTTTGTGACCCATAATATTTGATTTTTTCAGATATCAAGAAGGAATTAATTATTGTTTTTCAAAGTTGTCCTTGGAGTATAGACCCTAAGAGTATTTGTTGTATTTTCAATAAAAAATATGGTCAATTTTATTGTTAATTAATACTAAAAGGTGAATTCCTTAATATGTGTGAAAATAACCAAAAAATCAATTAAAATAGACCAGAGAAAATAATAAATATGAAGTTATAAATTTAAAATATAATGGGTTTAACGCTAAATCTTAAAGATTGAACTCACACACCTTAAAATCGTGAATCCGCAAATTCTAAATCTGTCTGTAAGTTAACACTTCACAAAGAGCTTTTAATTATAGGACGTGCGCTCTGTATGTGTGCGTGCCTGTGGTATTGACTATTGTAACTGATGGACGGACGACTTAATTAATAGTCTGATCATTCGGAGCTATTCTCGAAAATATATTACTGATATATGTTTATGGTTTTTCTCTTCTCTCTTTACCTCTTGTATTAAAAAAAAAAAGGATATTTCTACTCAATCTCGTTATTATTAGAATATCTAATGTCATTGTTAAGGATTATTCAAATGACCGTAGCGGCTTTAACAAATAGCAAACATGGCACTTCTATGTATCTTTGACTTCTTGAAATTTCAACTTTTAAAACTATTGCTTTAACAGTTACCAATAGGCAATATGTGCAGTGCCGGTCCAACCTAGTTTGACATTGTATGTTCTCCTTTTTTCTTCTCAAGGAAATTTTTTGTCCCAACATTTGTGGACTTGTACAAGGTACTAATAGAATTTTTGTGATCATCTTCTTAATTTTCTTCTTCGAAAAGAACATTTTTACTCGCCTTTCCCCTCTCATTTCAAACTTCTCATCCTATCTTAAAGTTATTGTCTTAATTTGAATTAATATTCAAAACAAACTTAAGTTGAGGTCCCCTTGTGATAATGTCAACGTGTAATAAAATACTTAAAGAGTTTGTATTAATGTACCTTTTCAAGTATTTAGCACCCAAAAAAAAGAACGGTAACAATTCAAATTTGGAACTTGTGAAAGTGTTTTCCTATCCAAGATTAGACGTATAAGCTTCCATGAAATTAAATATGAAGATTTTGAGACATCTAAAAGACGAATAGAGCGACAAATTAAATGATTTCGGATAGGGATATCTGCTTGAGTCTCTATTTGATAATCTCTTTCTAACTCTGAAATTTGACAAGTGAAAATTGCAGACTACTAATAAAAGTTCGATTTAACTAATCAAAAGGTGTAATATTTTAACCGTATGATGACCAACACTTTGATTATTGTTTCACTACTTAAGTAAGAATGAGGAACTGCTGTATTTTCTCCATTTATTTAAGTCAGCCCAAAATGCAACAATAAAAACATATACTGTATGTCTTAAGTGCAACTGTCTTGGTGGGTGCGTGTGAAGAAATATATACAGAAAGGACCTAAACCCACCAACCTCGGGCCCCTACCACCGGGTGTGGATCTAGTGCAATGGTTATACTGATTTATGTGTACCTAGTAATTTTTGCTTAGATCATATATTTTTATTAAAAATATTTAGTTCAAAATTCAATCCGTTGGTCTGATTAATATTATATATATATATATATTATAACTTGAAATTGTTATAAAAATTTATAAACTTAAAATTCTAGATACGTTGCTGCCCGGATGCAGGATTGAGGATGTCATTGGCTTTCGGGGGTGGGGAGAAAATACCGTGGGAGAGTTAACATTGGAAAATTGTGTTAATTAAGAATCAAATATATACATTTCATATAAGTAATACTCCAATTATTTGGCATAGGATGATTTTATTTTATTGTTTTGTGTCAATAATCAAATTAATTTCAAGATCTGGCAATTGACTGGTAATTTTGTAACACAATTTATATTTTACCCTTTAGATGGTTAAACTCCCATTCAATGTAAACTTTTTGTATCATGGCATAATTTTATTTTCCTTTTCCCATTTTGTGTTAATGATTAGGACTTTCCTATTGAAGTAGAAAAAATGAGTAAATAAATTGTAATCGAATGCATCTGCTAGTAGCATTTAAAAACGGTTAAATTACTCCTAATTAGCGATTTTATTACCGTCAATCAAAACTCAAATTTTTCTCTATAAAATTGAAAATAAAAGGAGATAATACACATGATACTAAAATAAAAATTATTCAAAATAATTGTACATTTTGCAATAAATTCATAAAAGAATATTTCTGTTCAATATGTAGATGAATCTAGAATACATTAAATTAAGAACAAAGGGGGCATCAAATTATAGCTAAGACATTTAAGATATTGAAAAAGGAGAAGAAATAACATAAAATTGACTTAATCATTTTCTTGATAAGTAAAAAAGGTGATTTCCACACATTTGAAGTTGATTTATAAAACATGCACTACAAGAATAAATGGCCAGCCTTGGAAGTCCGACCAGAATTTTCAGTTAATGATTAGGAATATAATATTTACTATATAATTCAATATTGAGTTTAAGTCGATAGCATTGGGTGTATATCTCAGAATTTCTTCCTCAGTTAAGTAGAAGAGAATGAAGGACAAATTCAAAATAAATGTCAAAGCTATTCAAATACTCCTTAATAGTACTATCATAATTAAAAGATTTAAAAAATGATTGATGCATTTAACAACAAGATTTAAATAAGATATAATGCAAGCAATTATTTAGTTGGATCTCTGTAATAATAACCAACATTGATACCATTTTATTCTGTAAATTCTGTGTTTTTATTGATCAACGTTAAGTGATTCTCTATAATTAAGTAGTGCACTATCGTAAATGATCTTAAAAGCTCTAGAAATAGCTTGCATGAATGGAGAATCAATCATCAGTATTTGATTATGATATATATGTTGAAGTTTAAGAAGCTTTTAATTAGGTTTTGTTTGTTCACTTGGAATATTAAATTAGTAGCTTTTACCTCCCAGTATTAAGAATTTAAATAAAAACGTTAATGCAATAACACCAGGCGTTATGCTAGGGCTAATTTAGCACCAGATGGATATTTAATGATCCTAAAAAGAAATGTAAAATCTTAAGAATGAGAATTTGCTTAGTGAAAGTGATCAACATACATTCTCATAAGAATATAAATTTTAGTACTAATTGTAGATACCGACTAAACACCTACATGTTTTATATATGTGATGAAATAATATTATAAATGTATTGAAAAGAATGAAAACACTAACTATAGTGTATGCATAAAATAATATTGCAGCTACATTCTGTTACGACGTACAAATAGTTAAAATTAATATTCTAAAGCTTAAAAGGATAGATGAAATAACCAAGTAGCTATAATTAATGCTGTATCAACTCTTTTGCCAGAAAAAAAAAAATAGAAACGTACTGACAGTAATTAAAAGTACATAGGATAAATGGGAACAACTAAAATTTTAGCCATACCGGAGATGTTAATAATTTGGCAGAAAGAATATAGGTGTAGATTCATAAGTTACCTCGTATTGTACTTTTGTTTTTCCCCTAGCTACATAATTTATAAGAAAAAGTAATATTAACCTGAAGTACAAGTAAACGCATGCATCATCCTTCCTGGGAAATAATCAAATAATTTAAGATATTCACCGAGTTCTTACGATGATAACAATAAATAATTTAAAATCTTACCAACAAATAAAAGAAAATAAAAATGATGGAGTTGTAATGCATTATGAGAGACAATATGATTCAGATCTCAATAGATACAAAAGACGTTAGGTAATTTTTTCCATCAATCCAAATTTTGGTGACAAAATTTTTATCAGATACTTATATTGCTGATAAATAGCTAGCATGAACTTATTGAATCAGTTGATGTGCGCAAAATCCCAAAAAACTTACTCGAACGTACAAACACCATCGTTATAATAAATAAATGATTAAAGAATAAAACTAGACAAAAGTCTAGATTGGCCTCCCACCTCCCCCAAGAATCCTAACACCTAAATAAATACTACTCCTTAGTTAGGAGTAAAGTTGAATTGTTAATGGGAGACGAACTAGTAGCTTTAATAATGAAAGGTAGCAACCACTGCATATTCCCCTCTGACGTCATATGTCTCCGACCTGCAACTAATATTACTAGAACTACTAATAAGGGTTCCAATTTTAATATATATATATATATATATATATATATATGTATTTGTCTCATTACACTAATAGTTTTAATAGATCATTGAAATTTTATGTGTTTGGTGTTAAACCGGTGACTTGATAATTAGAAATTAGTAACGATTACTGCTATTTGCTTACTGATTTTAGCTTTATTATTTGGTTGATTGTAATCCAAAGAAACAAAAAAACATACCAAGCGAAAATCATTCGCGCGGGATGGAGTCGCCCTCTAGCAAGAATATTTTAATCTAAAAGTGGAATGGTAAAAACTTAATTTCATCCGTTATTTATATCAATTCAATAAATACATACACACACATTTAGTTATTATTTAATCATGCTAAATTTTAGTATAGTTTGGGGGCACAGATCTGGAATATTAGCCGGGTCCTAGACCAGGTACCGAGAGGGGCGGACCCACGTGGAGAGGTGAGGGGTCACTGGCACCCTATAGGCTCGGGAAAAACTATGTATATGTTACTGTATAAACGTCGAGGACCCCTATAATAATTTAATTGTGCCCCAAAAATAACAAAATAATCCTTGGTTGCAATGGTTCTGAAGGCTATTTAGTTCCATTCTCTAACTGCCAGACCCAGGATGAAGACCCAACACCAGCATTATTTCACCATTTCTTTCTTTTTTCCTTTTTTAATTGTACGATAGTTTATTACTCCATATTTAGTAATCAACTTGGTTTATTTATTTTTTAATTCAAACATTAGTTTAGTACTATTACATAGAAGTCACTTAGTTTAATTTTTTCTTTTAAAATCTCTCCATCTAAGCTCCAAAACTCAACTTCTTTTCACGATTAGTTCTTTGTATCTTCTACACAAAATACTCAAAAATTCTATTGGAGATACATCTTTCTAGACTTTGAAAAGTTAATAAAGAGACACAAAAATAATGATTAAAGACAGTAGGAAAGGGGGATAAAATATTTTATTAACTAGTTTCATTAGTCAATAATCTTTATCTCTAACCAATTATTATTATTATTTTATTTAGAAAAAATAAAGACAACTAAAACCCTTCTCCCTTCAACGGTTTAGTACTAGTACATAGAAGTCACTTAGTTTAAATTTTTTCTTTTAAAATCTCTCCATCTAAGCTCCAAAACTCAACTTCTCTTCACAATTAGTTCTTTGTATCTTCTACACAAAATACTCAAAACTCTATTGGAGATACGTCTTTCTAGACTTTGAAAAGTTAATAAAGAAACACAAAAATAATGATTAAAGACAGTATGGAAGGGGGATAAAATATATCATTAACTAGTTTCATTAGTCAATAATCTTTATCTTTAATTAATTTTTATTATTATTTCATTTAGAAAAAATAAAGACAACTAAAACCTTCTCCCTTCAACGTTTACTTTGGCAAAGTAGCAAGTATTCGTGCACTCTGGGACTTCGATTGAGGCTTTTTGGACTGCTTACAGACTTTTATTAGTCATGATTTTAAGTTTTTTTTTTTTATGTTTTTAAATATTCTTTCGGCCACGAACTCATAATCACTAAGTGTTCAAAGAGTTGCACGCCAAACTTTATTGCAACTTATGTTATTTTCATATTTACGTTAAAGATAATGGTGCCCCCGCGACGTTCAAATCCTGGGTCCGCTTCTTGATACCGAAAAACGAGTGAAAACCAAAAAGAAAGTTAGTTTGTGCCCACCTATTTTAGCAGAAGATCAATAAGTGCTATTTTAAGCAATAGGCTAATGTATGGGCTTGACTTGTGCCAAAGATAGTTGAAACATACCGAAATTTGACTAGGATGTATGAAGGAATTATAATATTAGACTGGACAGAAAATGTAGAAAGTGACAAAGAGATTTCCATTTCATCTCAAAATTTCCCTTCACTTAAGCATGTAGAAACATTACTTTATGCAGGAATAAATAGATAAAGCTACACTTGCATTTCTTCAACTTTTAAGATAGAATGAACAACACTCTCTACCACTTAAATGATTATCCTAAAATGGTAGGAATAAGACATGTGAGAATTTAAATGTTAAAACTATCTTATGTTAGTCTACAGTTTAAATATTTACTATTTTTGGTCCTTCCAGCCGAGGGTTTAGAGTTTCTTTAATAGTGGCTTTTGACTTGAAGCACATCACATATATGTGAATGTGATTGAATACTAGGGAAGTTTTATTAGAAAATAATAACTTAAAATCATGAATTCGCCTCTAAATTTCTTCTTTTATCATGTGGGGAGATAATTGAGCTGCAATAAAAATTTGCAATTCTTTTTCTTTGTTTTCTATTATCATTCGCTTACAAGTTATGGGCTTATGTATAAAGTCGACTATATCGAAAGCCTTATTTTTCCTGGACTCCAGCGGTTTAGTGGCTCAATTTCTTTGACTAAATTTCAATTCCTTCAGATTTTTTTGGTACATACTTCCAGTCTAGTTTTATATAAACATCAAACACAGTCCTTCTTTTTTTTTAATGTAACTAGCAATCTTTTATCACACTGTAGTTACTACTAAAAGCATTGTGTATTATTGAACATTGCTGTTTTAATCAGTAGTTAATATCTCCAGCTTCTTTCAGAAATGGAAGAAAAGGAAAGAGGAGGTACTAAATTAATGAAGAACTATGCATTTACACCATTTTAATTAGTTAGCAAATGAACTGGTGGTGATTCTTAATGTTGGCTGGTAGATCAACTTCATAATGATGTTGAAGCATTCATGCACCTATTTCACTCATAATGAGCACTCCCTTTCATCTCGACAAACTTTTTCAAACGAATGAACACGCATAAAATGTTAAAGATTATCAAAAGAACGTGTAATATACGCGTGATTGAAAAATCAGTTGGGTAAACAATTAGGTATAAGATTTTTCTCATCTAATAAATACCTTATCTAGGGGTAGCTTGTCTTCAGTATCTAGGTGTATTACTGTATACATTGAACTAGCAATATAACTCCATATAAGAGAAATATTCTCAACGAATTTCCACCACACTCATTTAAATCCTCGATTTGGATCAGTGCAGAGCAACAGGCCAACAGCATTGCTAGCTGGTTGCTATACGTTTTACGCTATTGTTTCACCAAAATTAAATTGATATTCTCTACTCCAGTTGCCAATAGTGAATAGACTATGCTTTAATTAAATACCAACCAGCTCTTCTAGTTTTTTTTTTTTTTTTTTTTTTTTTTGGGGGGGGGGG